TAGTAAGAATCACATATGTTTACCTGGATTTCGGATTAGGAGAGGATCAGATGTGGTCGCTAGTCCGTGCACGATGAGGTCGCCATCGCTGCAGCGGCTGGCGTACTCAGGTTTGTCGTAACGCGATGGGCCACAAGCGACCGTTGCCAGCAGCGACGCAGTCTCACCTTTCACGTCCTTGTGACATCTCGGGGAAATGATTCTCTCTGTTCGTCGGCCATGCTGTAGATTGATGTGACGAGATGATGTTGACGTGATATATATATATATATAAGGCAGTTGATCGCCGAGTGCGGTCACGTTTGATCAGAGCGCTATAGAGAGAGAGAGATTAAGAGAGAGAGAGCTAGTGCAGCGGAGGCAGAGAGAGAAAGTAGTGCAGCGTGAGAGAACACGAGAGGGAGAGGTGAGAGCGAGAGAGTGAGTGAGAGAGGAATAGGTGTTTGCGAACACGTCGTGCTGCACGTCGCTATGTAAACGAAGGTGCTACGTGCAGTGCGAGCTAGGGTATTATCATGCTTTTCTGATAGAGGCTATAGGAGCTGGCCTTGGAAACGTCTAGGGCAAGGGTCAACGGCGCGTAATGATTGCTAAAGAGAGCCGTTAAGTGTGGCTGAAGGCAGCTCGTTGGAAGCGGGTGGCGGCGATGCGTGCGTCCAAGTCTTTAACATGAGATGAGTCGCTATTAGGGAGGGGTTGACAGAGGTGAGTATATGCATGCTAGGGTTATTGCTCAACGTTCGAGCAGGTTTATTAATTATTAATAGGAATTATTAATTAATTACCTTTTTGTTTACTTTCATTTAATTTATGGTAATTGTTTCTGTTTCGTAGCAGGAAAAATGCGTCTTAATTAAGAAATTCGTGTATTTTTCCTGCTGCGAAACATGCAGTTGATTTGTTAACGGGGGATCGAAGCGCCTCACCGGTACGAAATAAGTAAAGATAGACTATCTATATGGTTATCTATATTATTTCTATGGCCTCAGCTCTAACGTCTGGCGTATTTCCTTATTGATCGTATGCAGCGAGATCTCGCGGCGTAGAGCACAGCGCGAGATCGCTTGCGCATTCGGTCAGTACGCCAGGAATTGTAGATGGGCACAGCGTTCTGTGGAATAATTTGCTAAAAAAAATTGATAATTTGATATACTATATATATATTGTTTGTAAGTGTACGCGCGCGGGCGTGTGTGTATAATTATGCATCATATTTATATATGATATATATATATATCAATTGACATATACACACAATATATATATAATATATTATGTATATACAATATTATATAAATTATATTGATTATCATTATAATTGCTGTTACGTTTACGAAACAACATACACCGCGCGCACACACGCACGCATCGACGTACGCACGCTGGTTTTCACACGCACGCAGCGTAGACACACACACACACACACACACACACACACACACACACACACACACACACACACACACACACACACACACACACACACACACACACAAACACACACACATACACTACATCTGTGTTATTTGTGTGTGTTATTACATTGTGTGTCAGGACATTATGAGGCGCATCGCTTTCCTTGCTCTGTGCATCTGCGTTGCCAGCGCAACAAGTTCACTAGGAGGAGGTTCTTAAGGTGCTGAGAACGTCGGGAGAGGTTCCCTCAGAGGATGGATCATCGGCAACCTGAGAGGCAGCGGAGACAGGAACAGCGCGCTGACGTTCTCACGCACAGGTAGCGCCACGGGCACGCTGTTCAGCCGCGACACGGCCGACGCGTCCGAGACAGCGAAAACGAGCCGTGGATACGACTACACGTACAGGTGAGTGTAAGTGTACAAGTGTGTATAGGTGTGCAGGTGTGTGTAGGAGTACAGATGAGTGTAGGAGTACAGGTGTGTGTATGTGTACAGATGAGTGTAGGTGTGCAGGTGTGTGTAGGTGTGCAGGTGTGTGTAGGTGTGCAGGTGTGTGTAGGTGTGCAGGTGAGTGTAGGAGTACAGGTGTGTGTATGTGTACAGGTGAGTGTAGGTGTGCAGGTGTGTGTAGGTGTACAGGTGAGTGTAGGAGTACAGGTGAGTGTGTAGGTGTACAGGTGAGTGTAGGTGTACAGGTGTGTGTAGGAGTACAGGTGTGTGTAGAGACACGACTACACGTAGCCCAGAAGTCTGTACGCGTACGATATCGAAGAACCGATTTGGGGATTCGCCGATGGCGGCCAAACGTACACCGGAAGCGACCGTGGCGCCATCTCTGGCATCGGCGGAGGTAGAATCGGAGGAATCGGCGGTGGCGCCATCGGTGGCATCGGCGGTGGAGTAATTGGCGGTGGTGGAGGCGTCATCAGAGGCGGTGGCGGCAACGCGCACGGTGGCTACGGATACTAATGTGAATTCCACCCCCTCCCCCCCGCACATCACACGGCTAACTCGACAATGAAACGCGAATCTGGAAGTTTCAGTTCAAGAGGTTATTAGCGAGTAGTGTGTATGATCGGATGCAGAACAAAGATGAATCAGTAGTAATAATAATTTATACGTTGTATACGTACGAAAATAGATGATGGGTTTAGTTATCAATCACCTCTCGATTTCATCTATGGATTGATGATATAACCGATTAGTTGACGGATTAATGTATCAATAATCGATCATGGATGTATCGACAGATGATTGGATGGCTAGACGGGATGGATGAGCGGTTCACAAGCACTAGATTTAGTTTGATAGAATATAATCAAAGTTTATTAATATTATTTAAATTATAGTTATCTAATATAGTACAAATTGTATGCGAATGTTTCATTTTGAATGGCCTTGCGATTGTCACAGTTGTTTATTTGTTATCGTGTATTGACAAAAATCGATTCGTAAAAAAAAAGATGATTTTTAGACACGTGAATATAAAACGTCTTGCATATTTTTATTTCCTCGAAAAATTACAACAGAACAACGGAACTGAACATCAGTAATATAACGTGCAGCGATGTCGTGGCAGCAGTAGAATGCCAACAAATTATCACAAGGAACATTATCACATCATCTTACTCTGTTGCATCGTTCTATCTCGCGCATAAATTTCAGTTCTCAACTTTAGGACAGGTACATGCATTATGTATAATATGTGTGCATGTAATTTAGTACTTTGGAATTTATTCTCGCTTTGTACTCTAAACGTCGAAACCAAAGACACAGTAGGAGTTTTTTACCACCTATATATATACACACACACACATATATATATATATATATATATATATATATATATATATATATACGGATGCTATAGAAATCTGTCTAATTCAAATTCAGTTCTTCAATTGAAGAATGTATTGTGTGTTATATATATATATATTGAGCGTAGTGTTAGAATCTACATAATATAATCAAAATAAAAAAAACACAAAAAACAAAAAAATAAAAAAAGATGCAAATATATAAATAAAAAAATAGGACAAAGATAACAAAGAATACAACACATCCATCTTACTCACAAAATGACAGCATTATACATTAAGATAAAGAATTTACAGTATACATACGAGCACAACACAGTAGAAAATGATAATATAATAAACACAAAAAAAGAAATATACACTATAACTGAACAAATAAAGACAAAATACAACCAACAAAACAAAAAAGACAATAAGAAAAAAAAGAGGCACAACAACAATGAGCGTCGCTGTGCTCCGCGTACTTTGCTACCTGGCCTTACCTGCTACCTGTTATCCTGGTATCATTGGGGAGCTGACCTGGCATCGAGTGTTTTTTCGGGGGACATGACGGTAAGTTTGCGGGAAGAAAATTGCGCGCGACTTGCTGCGCGTACTTTTGGGGCGTGGGGCGCGACGGATGAGGAGTGCGCTGCCCTCCCGCGCCCCCCACCCTCCCCCCGGCGCCCCGCCGCCGCGGGGCGCTTTCCCCCCGCCCCCCCCCCCGCCGGCCCCCTCCCGGCGCCCCGCCGCCCCTCCCGCGCCCCGGGCCGGGGGTGGTCAGCAGGAAGGCGACCACCGAAGATGACACATTCGGGGCGCATGCCCGCAGATTTAGACCTTTTCCGTTGGCTTTGAGTGTCTCTTGCTGCTTGAATTGAGTGGCGTCTTCTCGGATGCTTTGATGCCCGTATGTTGGCGACTTCATCACTAATCCTCGTCGTTGTCGACCGCGAGACCGTAGCCCGAGAAACTCAGCCATCCGATCTGATGCCACGAGTTGATCCGGCGATAACGGCAGTACTGATTAGAGTTAAGATGTAATGCATGAGCGTGAGGGTATGTGATACAATGTACGTGAACTAGTGTATACCGCTTTATCGGAGCCCGATTCACGGAGCGAGTCTTTTATTATACTTACGCGCCCCAATTTCAGAAATGTTTTCACCACACTTGAGAGCTCATGTTTTTTAAATCTGCACTGCTGAGCATTTAAAGAGTTTATAGTTTCTCCAACGATAGTTTGCATCGCAGTCAGAGAGTTGGTTGGAAGTCGCATTGGTAGACAACGGGGGGGGCGGCATATTCAAGCGACCGATGTGATGCTACGCTGCACGCTAGCTTAATTAAGACCGGATACCCTCAGATTATACTTCGTTCATATCTTCTATTCACCGATTGCACAGTGTGGTATAGGCATATTCGCTCTCTGCTGCCAGAATTCCAAACACACTAGTCGAAAGTAAGTGCGCTCGATATAGAGCTGTAGTATCGCGTCAGATAGTTTAAAAATTAATAAATAAAATAACAACTCACACTACACTCCACGCACGCAAAAGCACTGTCACCGTCCCACTCCCGCGGCGCACGCGCGACACCCGCCCACACACACACACACACACACGACACACACCACAACACAACATAACTACCTAACATACACACAATTATATACATACACACGCATACACACACATCTTCACGATACGTAACGCAGCATCGCACGCCACACAACTGTACACACACACACACACACACACACACACACACACATAAACATACACACCATCTCCTGAGGCGTAGTAGGGGAAGAATTTGGAGAACACCCAGTCCTTGATGCCTCCCAGCATAGCATTACTGCGATGGAAGTGGAAATACGACACAGCAACGTCCTTAGGGTTCCTCATCACAAATATGATCTACAATAAGGCAGCAAAAAATCCATATCCTGAGTCCAATAACTTTATATACTGACTTTAGACAATTTTTATACGATAGTTTAGTGATGACGAAGGAAGAGAATCTTTCTATTCAAGTGAGCCATACGTGAACGTAAGAAACTCGCGAAATAACCATAAATGAATAAAAGTTAAATATTATCGCGGCATTTTCGTATCAGCTAACGCAACACTGCAAAAAGCTAGAAGCTGGTTGGATGCTGAAGAAATGCTTCGCTAAGTGCACGCGCTGAATCATAGCGATTAGCGGTGATAGCAATTTAATAGGAATGTTGATTTTTATTTGCTCTTCGTAGCGGCTCTAAGAGCTGGCACGGTTTCAGGGCGTGCGGCTGCCCCATCGCCGTATACTAGTCCGGGCCAGACGCGCGTTAAATCGCAGAGCACAGACGCAAAATACCCCGGGTTAAGTTAGCACGGTTAGACTGCGCATGCTCAGTTTAACGTGTTACGTTATACGCAGCAGACCGTATTTTACTCTGTAGATTAAAAGCTCAAAGCTTGCTCAACAGATTAAAGCCCCGCCGATGGCATTATTAAGCTATGTATATACTGTACTGATGTAATAGCAGAAGAAAAAGTATATTAACAGGTGATAGAATTCACAGCAGAAAGCTACAACCCCCGTATGATCGAATCTATGTACCCGATTATATGAACCATGCAATTGAGCCGTCTTATCAGAAATGTCTTCCCATACATTCTGGATAGATTATTTCGGCTAAATTGTAAATAGACTCTGTATACCTCGTCCTCGTTCCAGGTACTACGTCTATTTGCCATCATATTGACCAAGTTGTTTACACTATATGAGTATATATACAGTAGTGAATATAAGATCAAAAACAAAATTGCAGATACAATTTCCGAGGCTAAATTGTACTTTTTACGTGACCCAAACAAGGCCATGCGCATGAGTGTATCGGAATATAGCCCTCGCCCGGCCACAGATTACGTATACACACAATTTATAGATAGTAGTATCATAGGGGATAACTTGGGCCCACCTCAATCCGGAGGGCTAATTACTCACTCCACACCATCGTGGCTATAGTGCGTACAACTACCGGGATGGCGTGTACACACAAATTATAGATCAAATTTGCAGTCTGTATATATATACGGAGTATAAATCCTGATATGTGCGAGCGTACGTGCATGAGTGTGTAATTGCGTGCGTGCGTGCGTGCGTGTGTACGTGCGTGTGTGAGTGCGTACGTGCGTGCGTGCGTGCGTCGTTAGGTCGTTATATGGGAACTGTGTGTTTCGCTGTACCTTTGCCTTGCCGTTCCTCAGAGCGGGCGGTAGTTCGTCAAAGCGAAGGTGGGTCTGGAAGAGGCGTATCCCTGACTTGGCGTTTATGGCAGCAATCCTCTCTTCTGGTGTCGCTCCCATCAGCACCTCAAGCGGATGGTTTCTCGGGATTGCATCGAACTTCTCTTTGTCTCCCTTACTCATGATGAACCCAGCCGTGTCGTTCATCCACTGTGTTCCTGCAAGCGCAATCATAGATCGTGATGATATAGATGAGCGTGCACGCATGCATGGTTGGCCATCGTACTCAGAAATAATCATTTCTACCTCAGTAGAAATCCGTGTAAAATCCGGTTAAATTATCTGTAACAATTAAGGCCTCATAATGGGTAAAATGAGGGCTATAATTTTACTGCGGTAAAATTAATATTTCTATACCGCGATAAAAATCATTTATCCCCGCGTAGTAACAAGGCCTCTGACTGGGTCTAAAGGTCTATCATTTTACCGAGGTTATTATGTAAAATTATGTGTATCAAGGCCTCTGATTGGGTAAAAAGGAAAATCATTTAATTTTTCCGCGGTTAAATCATGTTTACCGCGGTAAAAATCATTATGTCTGAGTACGGTGGCCATGCAACCAGGCATGTGCGTGCGTGTTGCCAGAGGGGGCTAGCCTTTCCCGAGCCCTGACCCTACAACTGCCGCTGCTGTAGATACTGAAATGTAACCCAACATAGTAGGTGGGATGGGTAGTACCCCCTGCGCTTTTGGGTTAAATTATTCCATCTATACCGCTGCTGCTGTTGCTGCTGCTGCTGTAGCTGCTGCTGTTGTTGTTGCTGCTGCTGCTGCTGCTTCTTAATTCTGCTGCTGCTGCTGCTGCTGCTGCTACTGCTACTGCTGCTGCTACTAAGAATAAATAAGATTTCCATGCATGTACAATGCTATAATTATGCTAATAATTCTATACGGTAAAATATATGGTGATATAAACAAAAGCTAAATAACACTTTATAGGTATATCACATTATATATATATATATATATATATTTATTTATTTATTTATTTATTTATTATATTGTAT